CTTCAGAGGTAATAACTAAGACTACAAATTTAGAATCCACATAAGAAACAAAAATAAAGCAACAATGCAAATAGATTGTGAAAAACAACAACAAAAGAAAGTATCAGCTTTCAAATCATATATCATGGTCCAAAATATATTTAAACTTAAGAAATAAATGCTCTTTCCTATTAGAAGAACAAATCACACCGTTTCAATCATATGTAAAGGAATGACCTATCCTCATATAATACTATTGAATCTAAAGCAACTATCATCTTTTTACATTGTTAACTGTTGTACAATCAATAAAGGAAGTCTTCCCGAAGTATAAATTTTTGGGCCACCTTGTACGTCTATAATTTTGTTAGAATAATAAGAAAGTGCAGTTGGTTGAATTTTTTAACACTAACAACTTCAAACATTCACTGTTTTCTAACTTTATAACTATTTGAGTTAGAAATAAGCAACTAATGTATAAAGACCACAGACCTGCTGATAAATTTAACATGTTGACAGCTTCTTTGCATGCATGATATTTAAATATTTCCACTTCCTAAATAAACATAACAATTGGGGGGCAAAAAACTAAAATTATGTTTACTGGTTTGGATTTTTTTCTGATCCAAATTAATCATAATAAAATTTTTATCAATACAAGTTATACATCTGAACATACTGGCATATGTCCTCATAAAAACACCGAGTTGGAAAAGAGTTAAAAAAAATCCCCAAAGCTTTTAAAATATGTAAAATCATAAGACAAAATATACTTGTTTAATCTAAAATGTTTACCATGTTGTCAGTGAACTGAATAGCAATTTTTTTTTGTCTAAAATATTAACATGTAATATTTTCTTTTCTGTAAGTTTAATAGTGAACATCTCCACAATCAAGTCTTCAATACCCTTTCTTAGAAATTAAGATAGAATGCTAATCAAACATAAAACCAGCTATACAGAAAAAACATACAGAAGTCGTGGGTACGAACTACAATGACTATTAATTTTGCCTTGAAAAAAGTTGCTGTTTTCGTCGTACAAAGCTACACAATTGGCTATTTCCACTCTGTCCACGACAGGAAATCAAATCCTGCATTTTAGTGTTGTAGATCTGTAAATCTACACTAGGGAACTTTAAAAAAAAATACAGTTACTTTAGACAGTTACATATACAATAAAAAAAACCTGACAAAATCACTTCTTTGAAAGAAGGAAATTAATATCCCTGTCAATATTTATCATAAATCAATCTATACATTGTACACCAATTTCAAACAGGTAAAGCACTCACCAATGGTCCCAGTAAGATATGTGAAACACATTCCATGCAATAATTTACTGTTTGTAGTAAGTAACTCACCCTGATTGGCATTAGGATAAGCTGTTGGCCCCTCTTGACTGCTCCTGACTCAATTTTACCTAGGACCACTGTGCCCATATCCTAAAGACAGTTTAATAAAGTAACTATAATTTTTGTATATTTAGTAGTACAATGTTAGATTCTAAAAATATTTGTCCTACTGATATATTGTTTTTATAACTGATACCATTTTGCTATTAGCAAATACTATTTGAGAGAAAAAACAAATTATATTTACTTATAAATATTTTGTTTAAAACTGTCTGTGAAGATGATCCTAAAACGTATTAATAATTACTTCTGATTAAGAAAACGTTGAATGTAAATAAACCAAAAATTTAAGATCCCAGGAAAAACTTTGGGATTACAACCCTAACCCAGAGAAGAGTGGATAATAGTCTTAGTCTTTTTTAACAAGAAGTCTCAGAAATGAACCCCTGCACCAACCCACCACAAACATCCCTTCTTAGGAGATCCCTGAAGATGGCAGCAGACAAGCTACAAACTAAATAGTAATCAGACTTAGGTGGTCATTTATGCTAAAAGCCAAGACAAAAATTAATAATCATATCTTTATCATAAGTACTTAAATAATTAATTATTAAGCATTGTGAAAGGTATTCAAGAAACAATTCTGAAAGCCAACATTTATAACTGTTCGTAAAATCTACATCTGTAGGAATCATTGTACAACATTGTTTTATTCAAACACAAGTAGAATTCATAAATACAGAAATCACATTACTTAAATCATTAGAAAGTGCCTATGTAGCTTTTTAGTTTTGTTCTTTTTACTGCTGAGAAATAGTCTTCAATTTCACAACGTACAAAAATTTCAAACTTGAACAATCATTCAGCCTAAAAATGGCTTGAATGATATCTTTCAGCTTTTACTAATTGTTTAGCTGAACAAGATAATGGTTTTGATAGATGTAATTTACAAATATTACTCTTCTGTTAAAGACTACTGCTGGAGTAGTTAGTAAAGCTATTACTAGAGTGTAGTAGGAAAGAAAAACATTTTACAATTTATTCACAATATCGAGCAAATTTTACCAACACACACACACACTCACACCTTTGTTCTATTTCAAACTCAGAAGGTGAAGTACAATTGAACATTAATTTTAACAGTAACAAAAGAGAGTTTTGTAAAACTTCCAGCTAATTAAGAAAAACTAGTAAATAATATATTTATCTACATAAATTTTTATGTAAGAGATTCTTATGCAATTTTTTCAGTTTACTTTTGAGGGTTCAAGAATCAGAATGCTACAAAATCATATTGATATTTTTGAAAAGCAACTGTCACAAACTTTACTTGTAAAGTTAGTTCACAATAAGTCATACCTTGTATTTATCTACAACAGGCATTATGAATGGTCCTTCCACTGGTCGGTTTAATGGTGGAAGACTTTCAATGTACTGTAGTAAAGAAGGGCCTCTGAAAATCAATGATGTTTTGTATGATTTTAAGAGATCAGTAGTTCTAAGTACATTGCATAAATAGTACTGTAATGATTTTTTATATTAATTTTCTTATGTATTATTATAAATCACTACTCTTTTACTTTTAATACAAATACTTAACAAAACCAATTATATATTTATTGCTTGTACACAAAATGAGGGACTTAACACAATTCATGAAAGATCAATATTCAATTCATACATTATTTTATTTTGTACAAAAATAATTAATAATCATAGAACATATAAAAGTAAAACAGTGTTATGCTGAAGTCATTTAAATAGCTATAAACCTGGTTTATAACACTTCAATAACAACCAAGTTTGAGTCAATTTTTCATCATGCTTAATAGTCAACAAGGGAATAGAATTTAACATGTGCCTACCTGTACCATGGACAAAGTTTCTCGTCTAGGGTATCTTTAAGAAAAGCTCCAGTAAGCCCTGAGCAAGGAATGAAGTAAATATCTGTTTTTGGGTTAAAGCCACATTTCTTGAGGTAAGGAACCAATTTCTCTTTACATTCGTTGAATCTACGCAAAATAATATTGAACAATTTGAATCTCTGTAATGTTCAAGTTAATCATAACATTTTAAAAACGAAAGGTATTTACTACCCTAGACTGTTGTTATGATCATTAATAATCATAAAGTGTGATAGATGCATTATACTCCAGTCAATTATATCACACAGCATAAAGTTTTTGCAAAAACATTTGTTAATACAACATCAGCTGTTAGCTTGGAAGGCACAACAGTTTATTATCTACAAAACATTAGTGTTAAATATATTACGACAGACAATGAGACAATCTTGACCATAAAACTTATGACAATTCAGACAGAAAATTCCTTCAATATTGTACGATGTTCTGTGTATGACAATTAAATTCAAGTCAATGTATAAGCAAACTCGGCTAAGATCACCCCCTTTCTATTGTGTCAATTGCTTTAGTCCTACAGTGTATACAAAATAAACAAACTACTTATTCTACAAACAAATCAAACCTACAACTTTATAGTTCAGGTACAATTTTACTTTTCATCTCTTGGCCAAACAGAAGAAAAACATTCATTAATGCTATCTGGGCAATTCTTCAGGAACAAAAGGGCAATGAAGGCACAAAAATTTTAACTCTATTTCAATAACTCTTTACTTGAAAATATCAGAGAATTGACATTCTGTAAATTTGCAAAATGTATTTAATGTGATTTGCAAAGAAATTTTTTTTTTATTTCTGTGCAAACGAAGTCCTTAAAGATGTTTTAAAAAAATGTACATATATTTACCCAGACCTTGACATCCTTTCAATGACTATTTTCAAGAAACCTGTGTTGAGAGGCTTTTATGATATCCAGCAGCTAAACATAATTGGATTAAAATGTTCTTGTTTATCTACATTATTGTAAAATAAATTACATTTGTGTAAGCAGTAATGTATAATTTCTAAGAAGTGAATGTTAACATTTTCTTACACTAAAAATTTATTTCTGATAGGTACTTACCTCTCTCTCACACAAAGCTACTTTGATCTTCTTTCTGCCCTCTAAGCATTACTAAAAAATTTTCGCACTCACTGCACTAGTCGATATACCCCATCAATTTCCCGCTATTTTTTAACATGTACATATCACATGACTAGTCCCCATCAATAATATTGCCTCACCTATGTTGGTGTAGCTAACTTCCTTAGCTATTCCTGCTCAATCCTCACTTTTGAGAATTGGCAGGCTCTAAAAGAACACCGGCAGTAAGGAGGAAGGGCGGGAAGTGTGTGATAGGAGGTAACTACCCATCAGAAATACATTTTCCGTGTAGGTAAATGTTAATTTCCGATACAGTCCAACCTCCTATCACACAAAACTAGAATCCCACATTGCACAGATGAAGGAGCCAGTTTTGGTGCACAACAGTGAAATCAAGTGGAAAGTGACTGCCCAGGATGAGGGGATGTGCTCCAAGATGAAAACGAAGAACACTTGTGGGGTACCACACAACTTCTGGAAAAGGTATGATCTTTGCACTTAAAGTATGAAATGTATCTGATACGGGCAGAAAAAAGGATGTGCAATTAGTTCCGAGAGTTGGAATCCATAGAAAAATAGAAACTGAATTAGCTATGTACATACACAATCTCAACTGGACAGACGAGGTTCCATAACTTGTTCCCGGGCATTAGGAGGTTGAGGATAAAAAAGATAAAAAGAAATATATTGTAACATAAACATAGTGGCAAGGGAATGTGGACCTTGTTACATATACTCATCAACCCCAACCATAAGCAAACAATGTGTCATACATCAAGCAACTGGAATTACAAAGAGGAAGTTAGCTATTGGCTGAAACCTGACAAACTCCCAAAACCACTGTAGGAGCAAGAAGTACAACAAACTGAACTTGGCATTACAGGATCATGGCATTCCCTCAACTCAACTGTAAGAACATGGTGATATCTTTAACTGGTATTATGAGCAGAAATCATAAATCACTCAATTGTAAATGCAGGAAAGAGAGATACTGCATCTGGAATTATGAGGAGGATATGGAACAGTTGCTCAACTGTAGGAACAGTGTACATATGTCCCATTGCCGGTATTATTAGGCAGATGAAGTCCCCAAAACTCAACCATAGAAGCAAGGAAAGAACCTCCTGCCACTGGAATTAATGAGAAGAGGGGCCTCTATTGCACAGAACCATAGAAACAGGGGAGTGTCATCCCGGGAATTATAAGGAGGATCCCACGTATGCTGGATCTGCTCAAACCAATAGCTGTCCACCTGAGAAAAAACATCCAGGGGAAATGGAAGGAAGGAAACCAGCTTTGCTCTCTTCTCACTGAGTGTATAATCATGAGGATGTCTGGTAAATTAAATTTCTAGTCTCCTTTGGGAGGAAACCTCCATGGTCCTCCACCACAGCGACTGGAAATTGGTAAGGA